AACAAGACCAGGAGCTGACTGTGGCTCAGATCATGAGCTTGTTTGCAAACTTTAGGCTTAAATTGAAGAAAGTAGGGGAAAGCATTAGGCCACTCAGGTATGACCTAAATCGTATCCATGATGAAAATACAGTAGAGGTGAAAAATAGATTTAAGGAATTAGATCTGATAGAGAGTGCCTGAAGAACTATGGACGGAGGTTCGCAACATTGTACAAGAGGCAGCAACTAAAACTATCCCAAAGAAAAAGAAATGCAAGAAAGCAAAATGGCTGTCTGAGGAAGCTTTACAAATAGCTAAGGAAAGAAGGGGGGGAAGCGAAAGGCAAGGGAGAAAGAGAAAGATACACTCAACTGAATGCAGAATTCCAGAGAATATCTAGAAGAGATAAGAATACCTTCTTAAATGAACAGTGCAAAGAAATAGAAAAAGGCAATAGAATAGGGATGACCAGAGATCCTATTTGGAGAAATTTGGAGATATGAAGAGAACGTTTCATGCAAAGATGGGAATGATAAAGGACCAAAATGGCAGGGACCTAACAGAGGCAGAAGAGATTAAGAAGAGGTGGCAAGATTACGTACAGGCAGGATTTCGAAGAGGCAGTGGAACTAGATATCAAATTGCCAACATACGCTGGACCATGGAGAAAGCTAGAGAGTTCCAGAAAAACATCTGCTTCTGCTTCATTGACTATGCTAAGGCCTTTAATTGTGTGGATCACAACAAATTGTGGCAAGTTCTTAAAGAGATGGGAGTACCAGACCATCTTATTTGTCTCTTGAGAAACCTATATGCGGGTCAAGAAGCAACGGTGAGAACTGGACATGGAACCACTGATTGGTTCAAATTTGAGAAAGGAGTTCGGCAAGGCTGTATACTGTCACCCTATTTATATGCAGAGCACATCATGAGAAAGGCAGGGCTAGATGAATCACCAGTTGGAATTAAGATTGCCAGAAGAAATATCAACAACCTCAGATATGCAGATAATACCACTCTAATGGCAGAAAGTGAAGAGGAACTAAAGAGCATCTTGATTCAGGTGAAGGAGGAGAGCGCAGAAGTTGTCTTGAAACTCAGCATTAAGAAAACTAAGATCATGGCATCTGGTCCTATCACTTCCTGGCAAATAGATGGGGAAGAAATGGAAGTAGTGATGGATTTTATTTTCCTGGGCTCCAAGATAACCACAGACGGGGACAACAGCCAAGAAATTAAAAGATGCTTGCTCCTGGGGAGGAAAGCTATGGCAAATCTAGACAGCATACTAAAATGCAGAGACATCACCCTGCCCAACAAAAATGCATATAGTCAACACAATGGTTTTCCCAGTTGCAATGTATGGCTGTGAAAGTTGGACCATAAAGAAGGGTGAGCACCAAAGGATTGAGGTCTTTGGATTGTGGTGCTGGAGGAGACTCCTGCAAGTCCCTTGGACTGCAAGACGATCAAACTGGTCAGCCCAAGAGGAGATCAACACTGACTGCTCTTTAGAAGGCCAGATCCTGAAGATGAAACTCAAATACTTTGGCCACCTAATGAGAAGGAAGGACTCCCTGGAGAAGAGCCTAATGCTGGGAACAATAAATGGCAAAAGAAGAAGGGGACGGCAGAAAATGAGGTGGCTAGATGGAGTCACTGAAGCAGTTGGCGTGAACTTAAGTGGACTCTGGGGGATGGTGGAGGAGAGAAAGGCCTGGCGGAATGTTGTCCCATGCGGTTGTGATGGGTTGGATGTGAGTTCGTGACTAACAACAACAACAACTATTATTTTTGACTATAATTTTAGTATCATTACTGTTTTTAATTATTGTAAGTTGTCCTGAGACGTTTCATCAGGAAGGACAGGGTAAAAATGTTTTAAATAAATAAATACCTCACATTTATGAGAACACAACCCTGGCTCATACCTTAATATAAATACATGAGCCATGTACATGAATCTGTCCATTCATCTGGTGTGTATGTTTCTCTATATAATGCATTCTGTAATCAGCTGTGTAGACACAATGAGGTAGAAAATTGACCCTAAATCTTTGCTGTACTCTCTAGGCTAATGTTGGCAGAAATATGGAGGTGCCTAGAAAAATATGCCACTGGACAATTTGCCTTGATTGTGGGTACTGCATATATTAACTTGTTTGGTGCTACAGCTGTAATAGCGTTGTGCAACCCCGCCATAGCCTAAGAAACTTACGTAACTTACATTTTTTGGAATCCTTTTTAAATAAATGAAACACTTATTGAATCTGAAGTAAAAGAAATGGGAATATATGCCTTAATTATTCATTTAATAAAATGTTAACCTTTAGTTGTATTCACATTGCTGTAGAAGTTTAACTTCTGAATGAAATTGCTTCCTTCCACTTCAGGTGACAATTACATAGTTTGTAACTAAAGCTATTGTGAAGGTCAAGTAGATCTTGGGTTGATTTCCAGTCCTCTTCAGTTACTAATAAAAAGGTACAGTGCGCTCACTGTCACTGAACAGTAGCACTTGGAACAATGTTATGTGTCCCTTGCATAATTTTAAGTTTGTTAAACAGAAGGGAAAGTGATATTCAGTCAGTAGGACTAAACAAGGTCCTGTGAAACATTGATCACTATGGCTAATGTCCTCTTTTCCCATTTAATTGTGTAAGCTTCTTTTCAGACATGCACTGCTTTTATTCTGACTCCGGGTTAGTTTTGTTAGGATTAGGTCCTTAGCAACATTTTAAGCAGAGATTTCATTGTTCTGTCTTTTACATGTGAGGCTTCTCTTGTGGTGCTTGCAAGCAGCTACAGAGATGCCGCTTCATAGGATTATGGGGATTTAATACCCTTAATTGTCCATGTACATTGTCTTTTATTTGTACCTGATTTTTTTTTTTTTTTTTTTTTTTTTTTGTGATGGTACTAGCCCGATTTCCTGTGGGTACATTCTTGCTGGATTTTTTTTAAAGTGAGAGATGTGCATCATGCAGAAATCTTCAGTAAGTTTTCATGGTAGGGGCTAAGTCCCACTGAAATCAAAACTTGCTTCTGAGTAAATATGGATAGAATTAGTCTATTATTGTATCCCATTGATTAGTGTTATGCTGTAGGGCTTTTTCTGATGCTTAGTTTCTTTGTTTACTAATCCATTCCTAAAACCTTGAGCAGCTCCACAACACTGGTCTAATGTGGGGTGGCAGATGGTAGACCTCCTTCTGGTTCAGACTTTGGCTCCCAGAAGACCCTGCCAACATGGCCAATTCTCAGGAATGCTGGGAGCTTAATTCTGAACTACCTGGACTTCACCTTTCGCCCCCTACCTGGCTCATGCCTGGGCAGCTACTGAGAAAACATGATAGGAAAAACATCAGAATGTTTTTTGGGCATGTCACCATAAGCAAACAAAAATAAACTAGCTAGAAAATAATAGCAATAATGAAATGTTTGAGAAGTTCTGCATGCTTAGCATCTGGTGCCTGCACATAATTAAGGACTTGGGGTTACCTGATGTGTATGCTACCAGCAAATATAAATTGTATATCCCACATAATTTATATGTAGGACTGAGCCCACAGAACTCTGCATATTCAAATACATATGTGTTTAGTGTATCCATTTAAACTAGGACCAGAAAGCTGCTGTAGAAGTTCATAGATTGATAGAACAGTAGAGTTGGAAGGGGCCAGGGAAGGCCATTCCTTGGTTTCTTGCATGGTTCTTCAGAGTAATGCTAAGTAGTTCCACCTTTATGGGTAAAATGAATTATCTTACACAGCAGACAATCTTGTAATTGATTTTGATATTATTTCTTTTATTTATTCGTTAGATTTATATCCCACCACTTTCACAGGGAATTCAAAGCGACTTCCATCACTCTCTTCTTTGTCTAAATCTTATCTCCATGGCAACAACCCTGTGAGGCAGTTTGGGCTGAGAGTGTGACTGGCCAAAGTCACCCAGTTGGGCTCTTCCAGGGCTGAGCAGGAGGTGGAGGGCCGAGGGGCAATGGGGGCTTTTAAGTTTCAGAGTTATCTGGTGATGTTTCCCAGATGGATTGTGAGAACTAGCCTGCCTGGGAAAGACAGGGAACTCTTTCAGAGCTGTGGGGCAGGAGATAGAAACAGATCTTTTTAACCCAGTCAGGAGATGCAGGTAAAGTGAGCAGGTAAGTGTCCAGCATTCCATCCATCTAGTCCTTAATCAGCTGGAACACCCCCCATCCCCAGAGGATAGAGCAGGAAGCTTTCCTGAAAGGAAGGGAATTTTCAGCTTGGATTCAACCTCTCCCACATCTCAAGAACACTCCTTTGATTGCTACTCTGCTGTAATCAGTTTATTAATAAAAGAAGTGCACTTCCGAGGCCTTGTTTTGATCTGTTGAAAGGTAGGGAAGGAGGGAAGTGACCTGCTCACAGCAGCGGGTTTGCTTTTGAGTATGCCGATTTGGCAGTTGTGAACTTACTGTGTTTGCTTTCCCCTGTTCTTGTTAAAATTTTATTTATATTTTTGCATTCTTAGTTTAGTCCTGTAATGTGAAAATCATTACGATAAGCAGAAAAGCTTGCTCCACGTCCCATGCGTAAAAATGCTTTTGCACTGGTCATGTTTCAGTCTAACATCCTGCTGCCTGACTTGTTCATCTTTAGACTGATGCTTCCTAACGCCAGCGTTTTAGTGTTCTGCACATGGATTGGGATCACCTCCGAGGAAGAGACATCACATTGTTACACTTAAACAACCAGCAGTTGTGAAGGAAGCACAATTGGGTCAAGCAAGCAAGAAACACAAGGATTCTTCTCTTCCGAAGGCTCATTGGGCCTTTCTGGAAAAGGGTAAGTTTGGACCTGGGGAAGCTTTTCATCTTGAAGCATATGCAAATATTTAAAGTATCTTCTGTTAAATCATTAGTAATCAAAGGCCATAACTAACTTGGAGGATGCTACCTTTCAAGTGGTAAGCAGTCAAACACTTTTCTGTTGCTTTGCCACCTGTTTCTTCGAAAGATCCTTAACTTTAAGGTACAGCTTTGCTAAGAGTGCCCGAGAACAGTATGAAAAGTTGTCCAACATGCACAACAACATGACCAAGTTATATGACAATCTGGGAGACTATTTCTCATTTGATCCCAAAACTGTGAGTGTTGAGGAATTCTTCGGAGATCTTAGTGCATTCCGGACACTCTTCTTGGTAAGTAAAAACTAACCAATATTCTGCCTCTCCCGTGTATTTCTTTAATATGCTGGGTTTTTTTTAACAATTGTGTTGTTTTCTTAGTACATCCTCTTATACATTTTGTACAGTAGGTAGAGTATTAATGGAAACCAGTCACTAGATGGAATTAATATTTTTGGCCTGCTACGCAATATCCTAATTTTTTCCCTAAAAATTGAGCATGGAATCTACATACATATTTATATTGTGTTCATAAACTGTCATGTATTCTGTTTTGAAGTGTGCATGAAGGAAAGCATTTAAATTTATAAATTGACTGGGATAAGTCCACTATGTGGGACCCCCCCCCCCCTTGTGGCCCGTGGCCTTTCCTTTGGATGATTTTTTGAGGCCTATTTTTTCCGTGGGGGCCAGTGCTGACTGAATGCTGAACCCCATCCAAAACCCATCCCTAGATTGCAATTGGTTTCAGCGGAAACTTTTCAATAACTCTACTTTGGGGGTGGTGGAGCATGCATGTGTTTGTACATCAGAAATGTGGATGTATGTGAAAATGTGTGAGAATGTACATGTATGAAAAAGTGTTAGATGATCCCACCCCATTTCTCTAGTGGGTGCTTACCTCTGGCATGTGACTTCCGTAAGGTTCCCAAAAGGATTGTAGCCTTTGGACTGAAACAACTTCCTCATCTCTTCTATAAAAGCTGTATAAATATTCAGATGCCTATGATTTGGGTGATAGTAATGAACTATTTAGTGATACCATCTTATGAACATTTAAAATGTAATTTTCACATTCCTAATCTTCACTTAAGCACAGTAAAAGCCCTAACAAGATTTGTGCATGAATTTGATTGCACCGCATGTTTTCCCACTAAACGCATGGCAGGGCACTGCTCTTACTTGCAGGAACGGAAGAATGGTTGGCGTTCGGCCCCAAGAGCTACTTGCAAAAATATAAGCACTTCTGCTTTTACAAAGGGACGAAGGAAGGTTCGGATTTCCATCAGGTCTCTCTTCCACCAGCTGCCTTCCATGCTGCATCCCACTCCATTTCTGATGGTACCTAACTCTCAGACATGGCTTGGGTGGGGCTTGATATGGAAAGCTATACCCATAGATAGATTTCAGCTTGCATTTCTTTTTAACATGTTCTGCTGATGTCGCATGCACATGGATAAAAATACTTGTAAAAGAAAGCCCCCCTCCCCCCACGCCCCCTTAAATTGGTTTCTTGCTGATGTCTTTCCCAGTGGCTGCCTGTGGGTTGTTGTAATTAACTGTAACACGAGGAATGGGTGAAAAAAACATATGGGCATAATATGATGCTTACCTTCAGGGAGTATTCAAATTGCCTAGGATTATCAATACTACTCAGCCATTCAGCATACAGTTTGTAGTGCACGGATCCATATTGCCAGCAGCAAGCCTTAATCTGTTGAGTAACTATCAGCGTTTTGTGTGCTCCAAGGCTGCAAATAGTTCTCTGGCTAACTTTACTACATCAAGTTTTATTTTATTATAAACTCTCAATGACAGGAAATTGTAAGACATTTCACAGGTTAAAACAAACCTCTATCTAATGCATTTTTAGAGATTTTCTGTACTAAGAAATCACTGCTATAACACATTTACAGTGAAGTAGAATCATTTCCAAAATTAAGTGTACTTGTTTTCTATGCCTTCACTTTTCTATGTAAACATGGCATTAAATTGAAATCAAGCTATGAAAATTTGAGGTACTTGAAATTACATTAGTACGTATTTAGCACATCTGTAAGAATAAGATCACTAGTTTGTAGGTAACATGTACCTACGATCCTGTTTAACTCTTCTTACTACCTTGGTACAATCTATTTGTAATTCTTTCCCATGCCATCACCATGTTAGAAGCACAGCTGTGTCTTGTCATTGAGACGTAACTGGGTTGTTGTAAAGAAGCATACAGAAATAATTTCCAGTTAATTAACTTATATGGTATACCTTTCTTCTTATCTGTAAATAGAGACTGTGACTTGTTTATTCTGTTCATAGAGGCTAGATTGCACAGTTATCTGTGTTGAGCTAGATAGAATGAAAAATCTAGTTACACTTTACAATTGTATAGAAAGTGGATAAATTCTGGCTATGTTGATGCCTTAGGAATTTAGGGTAAATGCTACAGTATTATACAGGCAAGACATAAGTCAGAAACAAAATTCCTTCTAGAAGTGGCAGATTAATTATGTGCTAAAGTAGATTTAGCTTAGTATCGACTGGTGTCTTTTCCTACTCACCTAGCAATGTTTCCCATGCCAGTTCCAGATGTCATGTTTCCTTATGTTACTGAATGTGCTTATCTTGTGAAGACTCAGATGATTTGGATTTCAGGGAGGAAATTTCTATAGGACATACATCAAAGAGTAGTGTCTGCACAAATCTTTTGTTTTTAGGGGGAGAACAGGTAATATGGTTCACAAACAAATGATCTGCACATATTCCACAACAAATTTGCATTGGGCTTTTGCAAAATTCTGATTGGTTTTCAAAAATGCAGCTTTCCATTCAATTGATTCTATATGCATTTCAGGATATATAACCACGTTACCCACAAAGGAGATAGACACAAAATATTTCCATGTTTGAATCTTTTCCAGTTAAGAGTTGAAGCCAGAAATCCATATGGGAATGTCCAAAGTAGGTTGAGCCAGACTTGATTTATAAGCCTGAATAGTAGAAGGTGCACAAGGGCTTCCTTGTGTAATGCAATCACTACCACTTTAGGAAGTCTCTTTATTGAAATTAGCAGAATCAGTTGCATACGTTCATTGTTCAGATCAGAACACTATATTTTACATTTGGATACCTAATCGGGCATATTCCTTTCCTATTTCCTATTCCATTGATAAAGTTACTTTGAAGACGGGAAGACTGGTGTCTATGTTAGCAGGCTTTTCATCAGCTTTTATTTTTGGCGTTGTAGGAGCTAGCTATGGTGCTGAACTTTATCTCCAAAATAGGTCCACTGACATGGAGTATCATGAATAACTCCTATAAAGTTCAGAATAAAGGTTGTAGTGAATAGGGAGCCCTAATGACATAGGCCTCTTCCACTTTGAAATCAGGTGACCATAGCTTGGCCTAGTATACAGTCTGTATTGTACATGAGAAACACACATAAGAAAAGAAGTCTGTAAACACAGATATGAATAGTTCTCCTTATGTGTATGAAGTCAGTGTGTTTTGCATGGACATTAAAATTATTGCATTAAAAAAACTTAATTGGAGTTTCTGATTGGATGGTGGAAATAGACACTATAACTGACTAATTTCCGCAAAATGTTTTTGCTAGTTTGTTTTAATCTTAAGGCTTGTAATAAAGGCATGCAACACAAAATGGTCTCCCCACGCCATGTAAATGTTAAGTAAGTAACAGAGAAAACAGATGTTCTGTAACAATAGTTCATATTTAATGATAGTTTTAATTAAATAAAGCTTCAGAAGCTGATAAAATTGCTTTAAAAATAGACAATCTTTAAAAGGATTTCATAGATACCACACCATTCCTTGCATGGCTAAAAATAAAATGTGTCAAATGTTGGAATTGTTTCCCAGTGGCATATTCTGGCTTTTCAAAAGTTACTATGATATATGGAAGATTTTGTAGGTTTTTAAAATCCCAAACAATCAATGATGGAAGAAAACTAACTTCCGTTTTTGTGATCAAAGCATTACCAGCGACTTGAAACAAAAAATCCATTTGGGTCTTGCAGTTTCTCTTCAAGTATGATTTTCCAGCAAAGTGTTCCCTATAAATAAGTTATTATCACACTATTTGTAAGCAGCAAGAAGGAAGGAAGTTATAAAGAAGGCTGTGCAGAGAGTACAGGTTCTGACCTTTCTTAGTTGCTTTGTGAGCTGCTACAGGTATTGATTATCATCAAACTGGTTTCCTTCCTTCAGTACAAAAAGTCTTGCTACTCCAGACAGAGTCTATCTTGTTTCTTTTCTTTTGTTTTTTCTTGCTGTTTTGTAATCTGTTGATTCTCATATCTCGGATATGAATGTAATCTGTTGATTCTCATATCTTGGATAGTATCTGAATGTACAAGTATGCCTCCAGTATAGATTTTATCACCAGAGTTTAGTTTTATACTCCCAAGACAAAATGATGATTTTTGTCTTGGGAAGGGACATCATTGCATAGAGAATTATGTTGTCTGTGTTCCTATATAAAGTTACATATATCTCAGTGTCTCCTCCCAAGTGTTCTATGATAGAGTCTTGAAAATAAGAAATTTCCTCCTAACCAAAACTTCTAAATATGGGAATTTTGACTCATTTAATCCCTAGTTGTCTCCTCCTATGGCAGAATAATATATGGATTTTCCTTTTGATGATCAGCCTATCACAGAATTGGTCTCATCAGCCTTCCCCCTTATATTAGTAAGCTTGTGCATGATACGTTGAGCTTATTCCCATGGATCAGTAGATAATTCATGAAGACAGTTATCCAGACAGTTCTCTTGCCATACCAATCAGCAAGTTGCAAACATCACACTCCTTAAAAAAAAAAAAAAATTGTTGTGGGACAGAGTGAGTTGGGTGGAATTAATTGGAAGGGCTAGCTTAAGTATTAATCAGCAACATGACTACAATACAGCTTGGATCACTTTCAAAGAAAATCCAAAAAGTAAATAATTGCATAAAGTTACCCTTAGAACATACCTATAGGAACTACTTTTGAAGAGGTAAGCTTTAAATTGATTAAATAAGTAAAATGTAAGGAAAACTTAGGATTAGTAAACATGAAAGGTTGTTGAAATCTTGGAGAACCAGCAAAAGGGATTTGAATTCTGAATGACAGTGCTTTCTACGATAAAGCTTTTATCCAAGGCTACTTGATAGCTATCCCTGCCTTTGGGGCTGGTGGAGGACAGGAAGGCCTGGAGGAATGTTGTCCATGGGGTCGTGATGGGTCGGACATGACTTTGCGACTAGCAACAACAACATGCAAGGGAGGGACTGGAGTGAAA